TCATTTTCTTGTATTACTTTGGGTGGGACTACAGATAGATGATTCCACCTGAAGAGACAGCAGCTTCACATCTCAAGGAGGATAGTAATTACTTCCCAAACTTTTGCTACTATCCATACAAAGTAAATATTCTGGGCTTTTTGTGTTTAAATTACTTCCTTATCCGTCATGACTTAGTTGTTGTTGCCTCTTATACCTCACATGCCTTCATGAGACTGAGGGCTTTAAAATTTTACTTAAGATTTATTTATTGCCAAAGGTTTTGGAATTCTCTTACCAAGATCCCTAATGAAAAATTCTGCTCCCCTTCCTGCCAAATATTTACTATTCTCTAGATTGAAGAAGCTTTATCCTTTCTCTGTATTTTTTTTGATGGCCTAAAATAAATGGATCTGTTTTGAACTAAAGAGTTCTCTAGCCTCAAGATTTATGTCCCTCTTCCAGATTTATGGTCTCTTCATATATATTTTTATGTTTTGAAAATCCTAAGTACAATTTTAGAAGCAGGAAAGACCAGTTTTAAATTCATCAGTCAAAACACTATTTGTGTGTATGTATGAATTAAAACACCTGTCTTCATTCATCTGTATATCATGATGTGTTTGAATTTCCATAACTGTAAATTTTAGAGCCTCACATTTTGCTTTGCCTAAATTTAGATCAATAATTTTACATAAAAATGTAGCAAAATATCAAATCATAGATAGTTTCATAAGAAGAATCTTAGCGAGGAATTAGCAAATTGATAGCTGACTTCTGTTTAAGTTGGAGCAAGCATCTTCACAATTTACTTGTCATGATACAATATGATTTCTCTGTAGTTTTATACCGTTGTCCCCAGCTACTATACTACTTGATAGCAGACACATAATCTTTACCAGTCCCATGCAATTATAGAAGCAGTACCTTCGGTTTTTAAAATTTTTACATCTGGTTTGTCTTAATTGCTATTTTAAGTGGCTTTGCATTGTGAATATCTCACTTTTAATATAATATTTAATTCCTTTACTAAGCTGTATTTTCAATTTCAAAAGGTAATTCAGCTACAACACATTTATGTATGTAGGTTACCTTGTGATGGGAAGAAATGTTTTTCTTGCCTGTCTCTATTAAGCATGTTTGTGTTCATATGTGAAATAAGTATAAATACTTTCGTTAGGTTGGATTTTGTTTTAATTATATTGATATCAATGCCATGAAGTGTTTGAAAGAAAAAAATGATAAACAACAACTCATTGTCCTTCATAAGGACTTGAGGAAATATAGTTATAGTTATAATAAAAGCTGAGACTGTGAATAAATGAATCTCCAAGATTAAAAAATCTTCACTTGCATGGGGTGAGAAGAGTGCATATAATAAGTTCACATAATCAATCTCAGACTATTGTCTATTATTCTAATTCAAATGGGGCTGAAATAGGCTTAGTAAGTTTGGTGAATAGGCTTAGACTGATGGCACTCTTAGAAGTGCTAAGTTTATTTAGTTTTTTCCTTTCCCAGACACTGATTTTTTTTTTCATTTAGGCAATGGGTAAAGTAAGGGCAGGTACAATCTTCCTTGAGAAGCTTCTGAGAAGACTGAGTTCTCTACTCTGGTTTTCCTAGATTCAGAAGAACTTGGGAGTGTAGGTCCTTGTGGTCTCTGTTCTTTAATTTTGTATGTGGGGAATTTGGGCTTCATCATGCTGTTCATTTGCGGCAACCTAGAAATGGGTAGGAGTACTCTGATACAGGGAAGCACTTGAATGGGATTATTGTATTGAATGATGTTGAAAATATTAATCTTAATATTTGAAGATGTTCACTTCATACTAAACACTAAACTAAATGAGAGCTTTATGTTAAATGTATTAGGCAGATTTTATCTTATTATATTTAACCAGTGTTTTGCTTTAGAAATGTAAGCAAGTGGCCTATGGTATTACTCTAAAGATAGGCTAGGATTTCCTCTTAGTAGATGGTCATGTGTTGATGGGCCTGGTGACCAAAGATGTGTATACCTTCATGCCCTAAATTAGGCACAAAAGTGGCAGGGTTCTCATTGCCTTCTGGACATTTTTGCTGGCTTCCAGGGATTCTTGTATTGATTTTTTGAAATGGAAGTCAATTATTGAACCATTCCCTGACCTTCACCTCCTTACCCTCTACCCCTAAACAAACACGCTAATTGTTTATAGCTATTACTTGAAAAGTTTTGTGATGGGCTTCAGAAAAGATGGAGAGGTAGGTCATTCCTTTTGACAGATCTTGAGGATGTGAATTACATTCTAGAAGGATCTAGATGTAGGGCCAGCCAGAATCCAGATATAGATGAAACATTGAGGGTGGGTCATCTCCCCTGTTCCCCCTCATATTTGGGTCTGAACAAACTAAGTTCTACCTGTGTATATCCCAACATGTGTCCCATACTTCCATATTTTCTGCCTCTCAGGAACATATGCATGTTGGATAACGATAAGATATCATATGATAGCACTGAGAGTTTGCAGGGAAGGGGCAAAGAAAGAGCTTTCACAAATCTTTCATTTTGCAGAGGTGGCCACATGGCCCTGTTGTGAAACTATACTCATCTTTGTAGAATTATTATCATACTTATATGGTAGACACTTTGATGATAAAGCTAGGGTTTTATTCTGTTCCAACTCTGCAAATTCTGTTTCATCCCCTAGCATTGAAAACAGTGGCATAAAATATTCATCTCATTTATCTCAAAAGTAAATTGTGTCCATGTACACAGAAGGGGTCTTATCTTTAGTTGTCTTTTAAAATAGCCTAAATAAGGACAAGAAGCATGCCCAGAGTTGTGTTCGAATTGGGCTTAGTTTGAATTAGATCCTTCATATTGAACTGATTCCAATACTTTTTCTCTAAATGTTGTGCCCCTTCACCAAAGAGTCTTTTGTGAATGCAACAGAGCACTGCCTTGCTCTCCTAGCTTTCTACTTTGTAAAAACAATTTCAGAAGCAAATAGAAAAATGGTAAAAATAGAAATAGAAGTACACCAGGAAGACGTGTTATATATAGACTGATTTCAGGCACGACCCTGAATTTCAGTCATCTTCCCCCTGAAGGAAAGCAGTCATGGCATACATTTCCGAAGTCTTTTTTGGGCTCACTCTCCCCCCTCAATGTATTTATTCATTCACATTCATATATTTTTACTATTGTTTCCTCTCTTATTCTCCTCACTTCCTCCAGCCATGTCCCAAGAATTTCTATAAATGTTAAGTTGCTCATATTTTGATGCATTGTGTAATGTGGGGAAAATTTTCATTAAATCATCCTCCTGGAAGAATATAACATAAATATAAATGGGTGTGGAAAATTAGGGCTTTAAACTAGACATTGAAATTAGCAGTTTTCTAATGTACAAGCAGAGTTCATCCTATTTTCATGCTTTGGTGGAGTAGCCTGTGTAGAAGGCCTCTGTGACAGCCAGATGGAAGGCTTAATCGTTAATGAACCTGAACTGAAAAGAGCAAAGGTCATCATCCCAATAATTATGAATTCTAGCTGGTGATATGACAAAGTTAGAGTCCAGGAAGCATTTCTTTCTTATTTTTTATTAATCTGTAATGAATTACAAATATTTGTAGGGTATAGTGTTGTAATTAAGTACACGTATCCAATACGTACTTTTCAAATTATGGTAATAAACTTTAAATCTGCTTATTTCTTTATGTTTAGGGCCTTTTGGTTCCACACTTCTTGTTTCCTTCAAGTATAAAATGGGCTATTGCAATCCATAGTCAACTTACTTGCTATAGAATATTAGAAGTTATGTGTTCTATCTAACTCTACTTTGGTACCTAATTTCTCCTATCCCACACCCCGATTTTCTTAGTCTCTAGTGACTAATGTTCTACTTTGTAATATTTTGAGATCTACTTTTGTGTCTTTCGCATATGAAAGATAATATGTGGTACTCGTGTTTATGTGTTGAGCTTATTTCAGTTAGCCTAATGTCCTCTAGTTACAACCATTTTATCTATTCCATTGTTAACAGGCAATTAGGCCGATTCTATATCTTAACTATTGTGAATAGAGATGAAATGAATGTGGACCTGGATTATCTCTCTGGTGTACCAGTTTCATTTCCTTTGGATATATACCCAGGAGTGGCACAGTGGTGTTATATGGTTGGTCTATTTTTAACTTTTTCAGGAACTTCCATACTGTTCTCCACATGGCTGTACTAATTTACATTTTTACCAGCAGCACATATTTCTTTGAGAAATATGTCCCTAATAAAACTGCAAATAAGAAAGATAACAAGTGATGGCTAGTTGGATCTAATCAAATGTTGCTCAACATATGAGAGTTGTGTGTGTGTGAATGGAAACAAATTGAAGCTTATGGGTTCACTGGAAGAAAGAGATTTCAGTATATTCCTTCTGAAGGGAATCCAGTCATAGAAGTAGTGAGCTAATTGGCTGGTGGGATTGTTTGTCAAAAAGAAATGATGTGATTGGGTTTTCATAGAGAGTATAAAACCAAGCTAAACTTAAACACTGTGCAACAGTGATGGATAGGGTAGAAGGGTAGTTGGCAGCACTTTTTCTCAAAAATTAGGTCCAAGTCTTCTTGATATACTATTGATTTCCCTGTGCTGCCTTCACTCCCTTTTCTGTTAAATCCAGTTTCAAACACAAGTGATTTTAGCAGGAAGTGTTGTTAAAAATGCTGACTCTCAGCACCTAGACACTTAGGATAAACTTTTTAAAATATATTTTTTCATCATAACGTGTTTCCTCTTAGGTTTTTCATTTTGTCAGCAGTGGGAAGAGAAAAAACAATACTTAAAAACAGTATATAGGAGGAGATCTATAGCCTTTTAAAAATCCAATTCTTTTACACTTATCCCAAAATGCAATAAAGGACTATCTAAAAATACAATTCCCCAGAAGGGCCTGTAGATGCCTATGAAGCAAGAGCACTGGGGAGTAATAGCAATTCTCAGGAAAAGCTGATGAAATTATGTTTTCTTTTCTCCAAACAGATCAGAATGAAGGATTTCATTGCAGGGAAGAATGCCGGATTCTTGGTCACTCTGATAGGTGCTGGATGCCCCGGAATCTGATGCCCACCCGCTCCAAGTCCCCTGAGCACATGAGAAACATCATCACGCTGTCCATTGAAGCTACTGCGGCTGATGTTGAGGCTTATGATGACTGCGGGCCCACCAAGCGTACTTTTGCAACCTTTGGAAAAGATGTCAACCAGCGGCCAGCTGAGGAGAGGCCCACCCTGAAAAGCAAGAGGAGCGTCGATGTGACCATCTGCAGCCCCAAGGTCAACAGTGCTATCCGAGAGGCAGGCAATGGCTGTGAGGCTATTAGCCCAGTCACCTCTCCTCTCCATCTGAAGAGTCCTCTGCCCACCAAGCCTTCCGTGTCTTACATGGTGGCCCTAGGTCCCCCAACCCGCAATCTGGAGCCGTACATCAGCAGTGGCCCTTCTCGTCCCTCTGAAGCTGAGCCCCGTGGAGCTGACAACGTCATGCATGAGGTCAATACCATTCTGAAGGAGGGTCGAGACAAAGAGTCGCCCAGAGTGAAGCGTCTGAAGGATATTGTTCTCTAAACCAGTATCGGGAAAGAAAAGAAAGTATGTTGGCCAGCAAAGATGAAGAAGCTGCTCCTTGTAATTGCTCACCAACGGTTGGTTCTTGAGTAGCTGTATTTGAGCTTTCCCGAAATGTATTGATTATAAATGATTATTATTCTGTGACAATCCCTCTCATTTCAAAAGGCAGCAGGGGTGTTCAGTTGGAGCAAATTAGCTTTTGTTTGAGTTGTTCATGGGGCCTTGATGTTTGGGAAACAGATAAATTCAGTTGTGAAAAGTATTACGTATTAAGTGTTTGAATTTATATATTTTTCTATGTCAAACTTACAAATTATCATTGTGGATGATTACATTTGAAAAAAGTAAAAAGCAAACAAAAAAAGCTCTGGACACAATAAGCTCGCTACTATTCTTTTTTTGGTAGTGTAGACAAGTTAATGGTCATTTATTGTGTACTGTTCATTGATTCAGTGATGTGAATTCGAGCCCCTAACAGGTTCTTTCTGACGCTCGAGTACTTCCCAATGCCGCTATTTTGCTGTGGACACCCCTGCTTTAAGAACCCTTTTTCTAGCTGTGCTATTGTTGTATTTGATATTGCAAATTGCTATGTGTGTGGTGATGGCAAAAGGCTTTTAAGGATTGGTGTTTGTCTTTTCTTAAAAAATAATAAAAGTACAGACAAACACAAAGTGGAAAGAACTGAGGGAGCAAATGAATAAACAACACCACATATAGATTGAGTACTTGGAGGATATTCAGGTTTATCAACCCATGTAGTGATTGCTCACCACCTTGCAAAGGATTTTTCCTGCCTTTCAGTTGTCTGCCTGAGTACACGATAGATCGTTTCAGAAAGTCATTTTTGGATATGCTGCTATCTAATTTGCAGTTGTCAGAAGTACTGTGCTGAAAGTTTTATGAGATCCATTTTTCTATTTTCCAGGCCCTGAATAGGAAAGTTGTTCCTGAAGTTATCAGATTTCAGGCATAGAAATTCCCTGTCTCCAATCATCTAAAACCTAAAGTGACTGAATGTATTTTGAGATCTAAATTAGCATATTTCTAGTCACATACTTCCTGATTCAGTGTTTCTCAATCATGATTGGAATTAGACTATAAAATACTTCACGGACTGGAATTGAGAACTCCAAGTTGCTCTGTATCGTAGGCTTATAAATAGGGATACAGTAAGTAGTACTGAGTGTATATTTAAGAGAATACAGATAAGAGGTAACAGCATCACTAATCCAATCATTGTGCTTTCTAAATGGAGACACTCAGACACTTAAACCTGTCTTTTTATGACTAATATTTTTTATTTAAAATGTGAACAAGAAACTGTTAAAGCAAATATCCTTTAGATTTAGCTAATTCTTTTTGCTCTAGGCTAGGAATGCACCTTATAAAAATTAACAAATTACACATTTTTAGTTGTTGTTTCTAACTCTCAGTTTATAATTTTTTAATTAACCTACACTGGCCGACATAGTATTCTTGCAGTTTAAGAGTTCATTATTTAATAATAAAGAAATGTGTCACACTTGCTCTACCTTGGTCTTAAATGAGTTGTTTCCAGAGAAACGAGTTTTTTGCTTCTCTTCACGGTTGTTTCATTTCTTTTGAAATCCAACGGTACCCAGAAAGAAAGTCTAGAGGTTAGAGCACTAGAATACAAAATATAATTTATTTTCTTAAGTTTAGTTGCGTAAGATCAGCTCTTTTCAATGTTTTAGTTGTTTTTGCTTGAGTTCCTAGCTGTACACATGTACTAGGAATATTTTCTTTTATGGAAAGGGAAAGGGCTTTGTGGGGGGTGGGTAAGAGTGGGATGGGCTTAGGTAGGAGAGAACATTTCTGAAAAAAAGAACCTGTAATGAAGCTACAAATCCATCATTACATCTTATTCAGTACTGAATACTACCTCATGCAAGATATTGGTGTGGTTGCAAGTTTCCCTCTGAAACTGACAAAATAAGATGAATTACCACAACATTTTCATTTTGCCTCATTTTATTCTCATACACTTTCTCTCCTTCTGATTTATTTCATTTTGGTAGTAGATTCTGAATTAGATATTTATTTCCCATTGCAAGTGACTATTTTATTAACACGAAACAAAAAATTTAATTAAAACAAAACAAAAAATCCTCTTTAAATTATGATAGCTGCCAATAGAATTTAGATAGTTTTTTTACCGTGATCCATCCTGATATTATGCAGTTAGTTACCATCTCAAGGTCACTTTGAAGTTCAATTTGACAGTTTTCTACAGGTATATTTCATGCTATGCTCAGTGGAAATGAGGGAGCTGAGAAGACTGGGGAAAGTAGATATGTTGAACGTTACGTAGTTGTTGAGCTAGAGAGGCCACTTACCAATCAAGTTTATAAAGCCTTTTATCAATCAAGTTAAAATAATTAGAGTAGCAGCAGCATTGAGTTTGCTTTTTGATTGAGTTTTCATTTTTCCGCAAATTTAGTTACAAGTTATAAACTCATTTTTTCATAGCCAAATACTTTGTTTTCATTGAGCAAAGTTTTTTGTTTGTTTCTGCTTCCAAACACCTTACTGAACATGTTCAGTGAATTCCTCTCATTAAAAATATCTTTTTTCTGCAACAATTGTCTGATATATGTGTTCTTCCAGAAGCACAAGTGCATCATAGGAGGGATTTGTGAGCTGGTTTAAAAGGCAAGAAGTGCCTGCAAATAAGAATTTTGTGCAAGGATCCTAAATCTTCCTCTGGCACATGTTTTTCCCTTTCTTTTATACATGTCTGATGAAAAGCCACAAGGTCCAAAAGGCCAAATATTATTTATTTTCCTTCTTCTAACATACCACACAAACATCGAGAGCAAATTCACTTTTTAATCCTAGGAAGTTTTATTCCATTTATTCTAATGTTCCATAATTTTGAAGTATGACACACTTTACTATCAATTGTTTTCAGCAATTCTCTGGGCAGATAAACTTCTCCATGCAGTATTGGGAGTTTAATTTGCATTGATTGATTGTTTTCACCCAAATGGAAACATACTATATAACAAGAAATATTGAAAAAAAAAAGCCATGATGCCATGTAGAATCTCTTTTTCCATTTGCCTAGGCAAATTAGCTCATGAACCTGTTCACAATGAAACCTAGCATCCCTTTGACCTCTTAAAACCAGTTGGCTAAATTATGATCCATCTTATTACCAAAATAGGTAATGAGCTAAGGGATCCTGCAGATCCTGCAGAGCAATGGTTCTCAAAATGCAGTCCCTGGAGCATCAGCAAGAAAATCACTTGGGAACTTTTTAGAAATACTAATTCACTGCATCAGAAACCTGGGAATGGAGCCCAGCAATTCATATGAATCAGATGTCCAAAAAACTTTGGGGGCTTATTAAAGCCCACTTTGAAGACTCCTCTCTTAGAGTTTCTGACTCAATTGGTCTGGCCTGATTCTCTGATTCTGTGCATAGTTAAAACTTCCCAGGTGATGTTGATAGGACCACACTTTGAGTATTACTACTCCAGAGTTAACCTGACATTTAAAAAAATTCGTTGACATGGTGACCCACTGTCCATTAATAAAAAATATTAAAGAAAATAACAACTCAGAACTCTGGAAACAGGAATCACCCAGAATATTTTAATGATAAGTGTCACGTCAGCTCACTTGACTGTATGAGGGGAATTCAGTTGACCTTTTCCTATATCCTTATTATATCATTAAAAAACAAACAAAAATGTTGTCCACTTTCAAGCAGCAAAGACAAAGGACAGTTTGGGGAGAGGCAGGGATAAAGGGCATAGCTCAGTTGGGTATGCAAGGTAAGAAAAAAAGGATGATTATTGTACATAGCAGTTCTGGCTAACATTCCACTTCATGGGGATCATTTTGATGGTGAATGGTCCCCAAGGCATCCTGACAAGTCTGGTCCACTTCGCTTTTTACCCAGGGTAATAAGACTCTTATGGACTTTGGAAATCTGGCATAAATGAGCTTAAGTCCATTGTATACAGTCGTAGTGTTTGCCTTCTTGGTAAAATTACATTTAAGAATGTCATTTCATGAGTCAAATTGTATCTGCTGACACTGAAGTGTATTGAGATATTGTTCTTTAGTTTAAGTATGTAAAAAAGTAATATTCAAAGGGGATGTGTGGGGGTGGGGCTGGGACCGGGTGGCTTTATATTGATAATGAAATATTCCAGAGCAAAATACATTGTCCTAATGAAGTTGTTGCAGCTCTCTTTGTTTTCTTGTGAGGCTGAAATTGGCCTGTGGGTCACTTGTGCAAAAGTGAATTAATTTCAAATAGGAATCTTGTTGCTTTTGTGAAACAAAGAAAATCAACCACCTTGTCAGAAGTATATATTGTAAGGCGCTCTTGGTAAAGAACAATCCACAAACACCTGATCTTGATTGGAAAGCATTGTAGGTCATTAGGGAAACAGATGAGGCTGACTGTTGCTCCAGCTGTGTTGGCAATTAAAGATGACCTTGTTACTAACTGAAAGTTGCTGTAAACTTTAGTAAACAAACCAGCTAACACCGTTACAGCACTGGTTAGGTAGACTCTCATTGGCACTGGCTGGCGTTCAGCTGAGGAAGGCTAGGATGCCGACTTTAATGACCAAGAATCAGACTAGTTTAAGCTAGAAATTCAGCAACAAATACCTCTTGTGCTATTTGAATGCTAAGGTATTTGTTGCAAAAGGCTTAGGCCTTCGCTCCTCTAATGAGGGGAATGAGCCTGATGACACTATTATTGTTTACCTGTCAAACCAGGGTGGAAATTTAGAGGGATGCAAGTACAGTATATCTCATTAAGCAGTTGCTTTTGCTGATTATATGAAGATGAAGTTGTTGTATATGCTGATCTGTAATGTTATGTATATTTTCAAGGTGATTGAATCATTGTAAAAAGAAAAAAGACAAAAAACAATCATAACTGTCTATTTTATGAAGATGATAAAGCAGTTTTATTAAATTATTACAGTTATGTTTTAAATGGTGTTATCTGATACATTGTTTCTTTTTATCTGGTGATTCTCTGTTTCTCCCTTATATGTGTTTTCTCTGCTTCAAAATTTAATGCATTTTAGTATTAAAGGCTATTATGGAAAAATTACCGAGTGTCTTGTAAAATGTGTCTCAGAGTATATTTGTTGACTTGGGATAAGGACATTTCTTAGACCTAGGAGTTGACCAGCCTTTGGTGAGGCCATTGATGTTCAGGTCTTTTCCATTCCACACAACTCCCAATTCCCCAACTAAGAGGGGCCTTTTCCTGGAGTCAGGGTTCAGTCAGTCAGGATTGACTACTTCCTCTTCTTATCTTTCCCCTTAGTGCCTTTGCCTGAGGAGGAGAGAGTCCCATTCACATTCAAAATAGGAAAGACTTTCCATGTGGCACTTTGAACAAGAGCGTTAAAATCATTCCCTTAAATAAATCATTTTGGGAGCAACATCAACATGAGATATATATAAAAAGGTGAAAAAAGTAGAGGCTGACAGCAGGGGGAAAGATAGTTTAAAACAAAGGTGACCTGGCTGCCCCTTTGATGCCTGCAGGTATAAAGGCGAGACAACAGGAGAGGCTCTCACTTTGAACACAACAAAGCTGCAGGGAAAGCCCTGACAACTTTCTTTATCTAAACCATTATTCTCTGGGATTTAGCACTTGGTCTGTGAGTATTCATTCTGGCTGCAAGTGGCAGATGAAAAAAATCAGAGTAGAGGATAAAGGAGTGCATGGCAGAATATTCTAAGTAATGCCTTTAGTGGTTCAAAGACTAAATTGCTTTAGCATGACCTATTCTCTCTAAACAATTAAAAATAATCTCACGGAAATCCACTGTTTCCCTAGATCTTTATTTTCCTGTTATTTTCACTCACCTCTATTTAACTGAGATTACATGTTCCTTCCCAGAATTAACCCAAGAGCTTCAGCGATAGCCATTGATTTGGGACTGCAATTTAACAGGTGCTGCATCAATAGACATGCTGGGACACACAGAATCACAAACACTGGAGAACGTGCAGATGTTCAAGAGTCCTATTGGAAGAAAGCTAGTTTGTCATTAACTTAGTGACCAAGAAGTCACAGGAGGCCAAATGGGAATTTCTGTGTTGGGTCACAATGCAGCCACAAAGAAAATAAATTATTTGGCCCTCTTCTCTGTACCCTAGATTTGGGTGGAGAAAAGGGAAAGGCATCTTCTCCTTAAAATAATTTCCTCCAAAGAACAAATGAGAAAATAAATTCTGGTATGGTTAAGGGTGTTCATATATGCAACACAGGCATATCCAACAGTAAGTGGGAACAAGTGAGGAAGAGTAGCAAAATTAGAGGCATGAACTCAAATATATTCAAATTTATAAAACAAAGCAAAGCAAATTACTAAAATCAATCTCATTTTAATAACAAAGTTTGTGATACACTGCATGATTGTCACTGGCTTGTTGTGTGTGTGATCATGAAACCATGTGGGAAAGCTGAGCACGGTGGTGTGTGCCTGTAAGCCTAACACTCAGAAGACAGGCAGGAAGATTGCTGTGAATTTGTGAATTCAAGGCCAACCTGGCCTACTTAATGAGCTCATGTTCAGGCTGAACTACATAGTGAGACCTTGTCCAAAACATTTAAAAATATTTTGAAAAGAAAATAAATCATGTGAAATTTATCCCTAAGATGATCTGTATTAGCACACGGCAGATGCTCCAGAGACAGACACATTGTGGTTAACCTTAGGGAATTAGTAAAGCACACTTCTGGGCGTGTCTAGGTGCATCAGCAAGGCATACTTTGGGGTATTACATATATGGTTCTTGGCCCCATTCTTTCTGGCATGGTTCTCTTGCTCCACTTCTCAGCCACAAGGAATATAGCATTTTTAATTGTCCATGACCTTTCACCATGAAGTTTCTGCCTTGGAGCCAGCTGAGTACGAACTGAGTCCCCCCAAACTGTGAACAATATTAAACTTCTCTTTTAAATTGTGAGTGTTGGGTATTATGTTTCAGCAATGGGAAAGTTGACTATACAGGTATAGACATGACTTAGAAAGGTATGTCTTGGATGCCATGCCACCACTTATAGGAAGATATGGCCTCACAACAAAATTCTCCAGGATAGGAGCGGAGAGGTCTTTCCGTAGAGTTTTAAGTCAATCCTACTCCACATTGGCACATATCCAAGACTTCCATGCACTACTTTTCCTGTGAAGGAAGAAGAGGCGTGGAAAGTGGTGAGACAAGGCTTTCCAGGTAACCTGCACTTAATTGATGCCTCACTGGCTATACTGTAACCCTTCCATATCAGTGACCAATGACCTGCAGGAGGTCAACAGAGCTTTGTTGGCTGCCCCTGAATTTCTGTCTGAAGATGAGGAGCAGAAAACCTATACTAGTGATCCCAATGCTTCTCTATTTTGCTTCTCCTTATATTTTAGCATCTTGACGTCCCCCAGGTGGTTTAAAGCCTTGTTTTTGCCTTAGCTGTACAGGTTCCCTACTATGGCCCTTTCTCTCTATCCCCTCTCTTGTAAATATTTCCCCTATGTCTGCTTTCACTCTAAAGCGTCTCTAAGGTTTAACTATACCCCATATCTTCTAGGTCTTTTCTCTGTTAGGGCTGAGGGGGCCACAACTTTTCTTGAGTACTTTCTATATGCCAGATACTTTATAAACATTATCAAATTTTATTATCACAGCAACCTTATGTAGTAGATGATGATACCTCCATTTTATACACAGATATATTGCAAATCAGAGTGCTTAAGGGGAACTTGTTTAAGGTCACGCTACTACTCAGTGGCAAAGCTCGGATTCGAACTGCTATCTGTCTCCTTAGAAATTACTACTATTTTCATCTACTTTTAAGGTACAAGCAACCAATCTTTAAGTTCTTCCTGACTATAGTATAAGTCATGAATGATAATGTCTTAAGGTATGCATTCATCTTGGAGAACATATTGACATTTTAATTGATATCTTTGCGAACCCTGCGTCATGGCCCAAAGAAGTGATTATTGCAGACTATTTTAAGACCAGGGTGCTTTTAATCAGTCTCCCACACACCTCCCTACTCCTTGTCTACTCAATACCAGCCTTTCAAGTTGCATTAGTCATGCATGGAAGGACTGTGGTTCCTTTCAGAGTCTGTGCACTCTAGCTAGTCAATAGCCCTTGAAATGAAGTTCTGGTGACCCTATATTCATCTCTCCCTCTGGGTTTCAAGCAATCTCTCAAGGATGTATTCATCTGTGTTACAGGTCAGCACAGCTCGAACCAGTTGCAATACATATTCACATCAGGCCTGGATTACTATTTTAGATGCAGAAAGTTGGTTAAGGGAGAGAGAGGTTTAAGGGGTAAAGCAAGATGGTAGTGGTGGTGTGCAGGGAAAGCATTTTCAAAAATAAATTAACATTTCTACAAAGAAAGATGTGAGGGAGTGGAAAAATCAGCTTGAAAAAAGTAGGTGAATCAGGGCCAGGGATTTAGCTCAGTGGTTCAGTGTGGTCCTGAGTTCCATCTCCAGTACCAAAAAAAAAACAAAAAACAAAAAACAAAAAAGTGAATTAGTTGTGAGCACTGGATCATTAGAGGCTTAGGAATTGGTTTCCTTGCCTGCATCATAGTCCAGAGGGGGTTGAAGAGGTGTGTATGTGCTTCTTTTTGAAAGGGAACAGCGATGCTCAACATCGAGGCCATGCACAATGAGAGGTCTGACTGGAGACTTTATTCAAGGAGTGGGAG